AAGGTAAACTTATGATTACCTTAAAGAATGAAGATAAGAAGTATTTACATAATGTTTATTATATACTTGCTCGAAAAGCAATATCACCAACCTTGGCTAGCTCCTAGAAAAGGGGTATAACATACACTTGAAGGATCACTCTCTCGTCATCAACAGAGGTGGACGAGGTAGAGGAAATCGAAGTGACTACAAAGGTGGCTACGGAGGTGAACGTAGTGGACGAGGACGTGGCAAAAACTCTTTCGAAAGAGGCTAAACAAATGAAGGCTATCAAATATATGGTAGTGATCGAGGATCCAAAAACCAAGAAAAGAGGCGATTTCAACAAAATAAACATATGATCCAGACCTAATTTGTGTTTATGTTTCAAGTGAGGAGATGACCCATATGATTCAGCCTCGGATTTTGAAATTAACAAAAACGAATTATGAAAACTATGGCATCGAGATGAAGGTTCCGCTTGATTCACAAGATCGACATATTCCACGGACTTAAAGGAAAGATTGGCTAGCAAAGTTGGGTTTGAGGGGGATTGTTAGAATTCAAACCCTTTGCAATTATGGAATAAATATTTTCCTCTCCTTTCTCAAGCTATTAAGAATTTTTAGCCATTAATAATTTTTAGTCATTAAGAATTTAACCAAGTAATATTCAAAATAGGTAATCAAAGGAGGTGATCAAATTTTGTGACTTTTAATTAATTCTAGATGTTTCAAATGAGGAGATTAAGTTTGTCTATAGTATGTATAAAATTAGACAGAGTGCGGTAGATATATACTAACAACGGTTAAGAAAATAGAAATAGAATCAATTTATTGAGAAAACATATTTTGTATAAGGTTTTTTTTTTAATCAATATATATTAATATATTGTTGTTTGAGTTTTATTTTGTGAGCCTATTATGCTTCCAACAATTCATTAGGCTCATTCCAACTTGAAGTACTTTGATACTTATCGTCATGCATATTACTAATTCATACAAGCAAACTCATTTCCAATTTGTAAAGGCAAACTCGACTTATAATTTATATATATGAAAAACAAAGATATAAGAGCTAATTACAACTTTTAAACTCTCTATCCGCCTTATATAATTAAAAGTAATAAACTATACATATATTTTTAATAAACTCTATACATGATTAAATATATACGAATTAGTCTAAGGTATGTGGAATTTGCGAGCTCGAGTAGTCGACTTTAAAATACTCTTATAACATGTATGGGCTCGTCTAAACAAAAAGACAACTTAAGCAACTAATGAATTCTTAAATTCAAGACCAATAAAACTGTAATTGTGGGGGGTTGTAAACTTTTCAACTTGTTTAGTGAAAAGATTATATACAATCCGTAACATGATTGTTAACCATTCTCACACAACATCATCAATTCTCAACATTCTCGTTGTATATAATCTTAATGCGTGCGTAATCAAAATATAAATTTAGTCATTCCATTTAAACCAACGTTTGGTATATGAGATTAAAATATAAACGGATAAGTTGGGTGATTATTGTCACCATTTTGTAGTAAGCACACAACATTCTTGGCCCTTGGCCGATTCATTCTCTTTTTGACACAGCATTCATTGGCACTCAGCCTCATTAGCATACGGGCTCAATACTTTTTCTTACTTCTTCATTAATATCAATGGTCACACCAATCTTGTAATTAGGTTCTCAAAGTGACAGTCATATTCAAGTACAATGCCATGTCTATGCATTATTATAGTTTAATAGCACCTATTCATGTTCATGTCTAAGTTAATATTCACTTAAATGAATGAATGAGATTTATAGCATAATATTAAATTGCATATAAATCATTCACGGTTAACTATCTAAAACAATACAATTATCGAGCTATTCGAGTAGCCCGATCCGTCATATCCATATAAACAACAAATCAAATATATCTCAATATAAGCCATTAGCTTACAAACAACAATTCAGCAACCACAAGCATAAAACTTACTTTTCCTACACAAGCAACTTAAGCACCACTTAAAGGACTTGTAGTGTTTTAGACATATTTCAAGTTCTAGACTATTTTTTGTCTTCATTTATTGAATTAGAAACTAAACATAAATTCAACATATATCCAAAAATCATAATTAACCCTCAACTATACAATTTATGCTCATTTTTCGAGAGTAACTCGTTTCCAAGCAAGCTTGTTTCAAGATAGCCTCTAAACAAGTAGCAATAGCTCAACTTCGGATATAATAAGAACCTATCCTTTTACTAGTAGTAACTAGACATATTAATCCAAATCATATAAAAAAATTAGATCAAAAATACAAAACCCAATTAATATTATAATTTTAAAGTTTAAGAATTAATCCGTTCAACAACGAGGTCATCTAGAATAGTTTGTATTTAAACGGGTATAATTCTTCATATAAAAAACTAATGACAAAACTATTTTATATAGATTTAGAAGAAATAGATCAACAATTTTTATTTTTACAAATTTACTCAAAAATCACTTAAAGATTTATGAACAAGCAATACAAAATTTGAATAGTACTTAATCCTTAAGAACACCGATTCTTGCATACTTGATTTTTAGCTCTCAATTTGTGTTTTTAAACTTACCTATTCTTTTAATACATTAATAACTCACTAAGTAATAATATATATATGGTTATCAAAGCATATTATGAAAATTGGCATATTAAATCCTAAATTATAGTCTAAGAACACAACCCGAAATATAACTCAAAATTCATGAACACAAGTGGTTCCAATAACATTTCACCAATTAAAATCATTACGGACACTCACCTTGATGTTTTGAAATTTCAACAAACTTTTATCACTTTTGAATCAATAACTCCAAGCAACAACAAAGATTCTACTTAAAGATTCAAGACCTAAATTATAGTCTAAGAATACAACCCGAAAGCTAACTCATATCCATGAACACAAGTAATTCTAATAACATTTAACCAATTAAAATCATCACAAACACTCATTTTGATATTCTGAAATTTCAACAAGCTTTTATCACCCTTGAATCAATAATTCTAAGTAACAACAAAGATTCTACTTAAAGATTCAAGACAAATGATTTCCTCTCTAAGGTTCTTTGTGAAAGATTTTGATGACCACCACATCAAAATCCTTCACCAAAAACCATAGAGAGGAAATCGTTTGTCTTGAATATTTGTTGTTTTTTGAAGTTATTGATTCAAAGGTGATAAAATCTTGTTGGAATTTCAAAATATTGAAGTGAGTGTCTATAATGATTTTAATTGGTTAAATGTTTTTGGAATCATTTGTGTTCCATTTTTGTTCATGGAATTTGAGTTAGATTTCAGATTGTGTTCTTAAACTATAATTTAGAGTTTAATGTTTATATATATATATATATAACCTAGTGAGTTATTAATGTATTAAAAGAGTTGGTAAGTTTAGAAACATAAATTGAAACTAGAAATTAAGTATGTACGAATCGGTATTCTTATGGATTTGGTTCCGTCCGAATTTTGTACTCCTTGTTCATAGGTTTTAAAGTGATTTCTGGATAAAGTTGTAAGAATGAAAGTTATTAATCTATGTATCTTCTAAGTATCTGTAAAATGGTTTTTTCATTACTTTTGTATATAAAGAATTATATCCATTTGAATGCGGACTATTCTAGATGACTCATTATCGGACTGATTAGTTCTTAAACTTTAAAATTATAGTATTAATCATGTGTTCGGTATTTTTGATCTAATTTTTTGATATGTTTTGGATTAATATGTCTAGTTATTATTAGTAAAAGAATAGAATCTAATTATATTCAGAAATGGAGCTATTGCTACTTGTTTAGAATAAGTCTTGAATTATGATTATTGAAAACGGAGTAACTTTTGAAAAAAGAGCATAAATTCTATATTTGAAGGCTAAATATGATTTTTGAATGTGTTGAATTTGTGTCTAGTTTCTAATTCAATAAACGAAATAGGAAAAAGATAACTAGAACTTGAACTATGTCTTAAACACTATGTGGTGTTTAAGGTGCTTCGTAAAAAAGTAAGTTTTATGTTTATGGTTGTTGAATTGTTGTTTGTAACCCAAGGGCTTATATTGAGATAAATTTGAGTTGTTGTTTATATAGATACGGAGAATCAACCTACTCGGTAATTATGTTGTTTTGGATAGTTATAACTTGTGAGTGGTTTATATGCAATTTGATAATATGCTAAAAATCTCATTTATTTATTTAAGTGAATGTTAACTTAAACATGGGCATAGATAGATGCTATTATACCGTAATAATATATTGACATGGCATTATGCTTGAATATGATTATCACTTTGGGAACTTGGTCCCAAGTTTAGTGTGACCATTGATATCAATAGAGTAAGAAAAAGTATTGAGGATGTGTGCCAAAAAGAGAATGAATTAGCTAAGAATGAGTGTGAAAGGTTGTGTAAAAGGCTGGAGTTTAAATGTTGCATGAGAATGGTTGACAGATCATATTATCATATTGTATATAATCTTCTCATGGAGCAAATTGAAAAGTTCACACCACTACAACTACAATTTTACAAGTCTTGGATTTAAGAGCTTATTGGTTGCTTAGGTTGTTCTTTTGTTCGGACAGACTTATACATGTTATAGGTGCATTTTGAAATCAGTCTGCTCTAAAACTCTGCAAATTCCACCTCCCCGGGGCCAATTTGTATATATTTAGTCATGTATAAAGTTTGTTAAAACTGTATGTATAGTTTATTGTTTTTGGTTGTATAAGACGGATAGAGAGTTTAGTAGTTGTAATTAACTCTTGTATCTTTATTTTTTATATAAATAAATTATAAGATGAGTTTGCTTTTATGAATTAGTAATATACATGACGATCAACATTAAAGTACTTCAAATTGGAATGGGTCTAGTGAATGAATTGAAAGGCAATTGTAATTCTTGTCGTAAACAGATTAAAATGTTGTGTCTTGAGAGTTGTGACCTAGTGGATTTTGGGTTGTGACACCTGTTTGCTGTTGAGCTGATGGCATTGTCTAAGATAAGATCTGCTGAAATCCTCGAACAAGTATCAGAAACTGTGTTTGGAATGATGCAACAGTTTAATTGGGAAAATACACAAGATTTGAATGATAAGGATTTGTGGATACCTAATCATTTGCTTTACAGGAAGGATGTTGTTCTTGTTCATCTATATTGTGGATTAAACGAGAATGACACATGGAATAATTAAAAACACTTGATCTGGAATGTTAATGTTTCTATGCAATAGAAGTGTCAGTTTGTGTTTGTTATAGAAGTTTCATAATAGAAATTGGGTGTTCATGTTGTGATTCGGGGATTGGAACCGGAAGAATCCTTTCTGTCAGTAAAAAATGCATTTAGATTGGGTGTTGGAAAGTCGTTTGTGCTTAGCATAGCCTGCTTATCATTCACAGCCTCATGGACTTTACTCCAGGATTGTTTGGCCAATTAATGTAATTTAGATTTAAGGTTAATGTTTGGGCAAGGGCGGAGAAGTTTTTGAATGTGGCATCAGTAGCTGTGCCATGTATGTACCTGCCCCAAAATATGACCTCATTTTTTGCATTTTTAAGCGACTTCATATTATGTTCTGCTGAAGAATGCTTGTAATTTTAAGCCTTAAAATGATAAGACATTAGAAAGGCCTTTTGGACTTGGTTTCAATGGAACAGGAGTTGTTCCTGTATGCTTATAGGGGCTGTGTACTGAAGGCCTGTTTAACCTTTAAAGGCATAGGAGTCTGTATTAGGCACGTTTATTGATTATAAAATTCTTAGTGTAGGTTTCCTTGGGCTTAAAATATATCTGCAAGGATACAATTATGGCAATAACTAGACATGTTTCATAATATGTCGGTATTTTCTGTATAACTGGGGAGAGGGGTTTGAGGATCAACTCCATGAACCTCGTGTAGTGCTAGAGGTACCTACAACTGTGCCTCTTGGCCCAGTGGTGTAGAAAAGAGATTGAAGACCTTGGGTTATGCCTGGATGTGAATTCAGAAATGTTTTTCCATCCTGGCCTCTATGTTTGTAGCAAACTTTCTAAGGCTTGATATAATCATTGAAAAATGATTTCTTTAATCACGTCATTTGTTTCTATATTTGTTCAGCCTGGCTAACAGTATTTCTTGCCCTTTGTTTGGTGAGGTCGGGGCAAAGGATCACCAGCGCTTTCAAGCTTCTTATGCAACTATTCTCAAGGCTCACATGACAGCTCTGAAGAAGAGGGAAAGGAAGGATAAGAAAAAGGCAGCAGAAGGTGATAAGAAAGAAGGTGGCCTAACGAAGAAACCAAAGAGAGCCTGAATGCCTTTGGCTACTAAGCCTCCTGTGTAAAGGATATTTTTCGTACCCTCCTAACCTTCCTGTGTGCCACAAGAGTGCTCAAATTGTTTTTGGGAAAGTATTGAAACATGCTTTCAACTTTGAGCGATCATAAAGATTGATAGATGAGTTTTTGTTGACTTCCCTTGTTGCAGTTTCATAGAAGTTCAGTGGCTTGCTTGACATTGATATGAAAAATTGTGTATATTTTGTAGCCATGTCTCGTTATATTGAAAGTCGACTGTCCTTCCCTTTTAAGCTGTTTTCTCCGCTAGAGATGGTTCCATGAGGGAATTCAAACCCATAATTTTTGTGCAAAGTGGTGATATATTTAACACCTTACGGAGAAATCTCATTATCCTGCATAATTAAAGCAAGTGCTTGTGTACGGGAAATTTATGAATTTGTGTTGGTTGGGTTTTTTGTTAGTGTGATTAAAATGAATTTTAATTTGTCAATTATCATTATTAAACAAGTACATATATATATATATATATATATATATATATATATATATATATATGTATATATAGTCTAATCTTAGAATTAAATGTATTTATTTGAATTGGATTACTTAAATAATGTACTTATTATAAAAAAAATATTAAATATTATTATATCATCTAAAGGGGAGCCAATTAAATCCATGTGTATATGACACCTAGTAAAGCAATTAAGCTAACTTGCTAAAATTAATCACTTTGATAAGACTATATTTATTATGGTAGAATTTTAATTAGATCCCTATAAATCTCTTTGGTAATTAAAATGTTCAATCACCCCATCAAACATAAAATTGTAGGTTTTAGTAAGATTACGCCAATAGTATTGGTAAGTACTTTAATTTATGATTAATTAGTTTCTTATTTTTGGTATCATGATTACTTAAATACGTTTGGTAAAAGTAAAACAGGCCCTCGATCTTTTGATCATGGAATTTAGAACTAGTCATGTTTTCTTAAAAACATTAAAGAATCCAAATCTTCCATGACGTACCACTTAGCATCACAATTGCCACTACTAAAAGAACTTGGAAAAAGGTGAATCTAACAAACCTCTGTGATATTGTGAATAATGGAAGAAAAAATGATTTTGTTAAGAAATATATTTGATTTCTTTTTGTGTAGCCAAAAATAAAAAACATCATTTTGTAAGTTAAGTTGTTAAAAAACTTAAAAATTATGGCAGATGAAAGAAAAGGGAAAAAACATTTCCCAGCGAAGCAAATGGGAATCCAGTTTCAACTAATTTCATTCCTTAATTTACAAATCACTACAATAATTGAAGAATGATTAAATAACGTCGTTAGAGACATTTCCAGTAAGTTCCTGAGCTCTCTAGGCTTGCCATTTCCAATCACTTCTAGCCAAAACAAACAAAATGGTCATCAAACATGAGCCTGAGCTGCTAATAGACCAAACCAGAGTCCTTTAAAATCAAAGCTAGCATAAAAACTTAACCAAACAGCAACTGGCATGACAACAAGATAAAAGCATCCCAAATTAATATTTGCGCCCACTTTATGCCTAGCCATGCCTCTCAAAACACCACAACCTCTTGTTTGTGAGCAATTTCCAAGCTCACAAAGGCCAATTATGGGCAAAACCATGGATGCCAATGCAATAATCTTTGCATCTTCTGTAAACATGGTAACCCAAACTTTCCTCACCGTAACAGCAAAACGCAATGCTGTAAATCCCAAGACAAAGCGTGAAGAGAGACCAACAATAGCAGCAAGCTTGGCCTTCTGTGGATTATTAGCACCTAGTTCATTGCCAACTCTTGTTGACACACCAAAGCTTAAAGAAGATGGGAAAATGTATATCAAACCTGTGGTTTGAATTAAGATTCCCATTGAAGCAACAGTTGCTCTTGCATTTAACAATAGCCCACATAGTAAAATCATGATCTCATACCACCACCATTCAAGACAAACCAAAATGCAGCTTGGAATTGCCAAACTCAATAAAGATTTCCACCCTTCAAAGAGATCATAACGTAAACGATCAATGACCCTACAAGATTGAAGTTAGTCCAAACTGTACTTAACGCAACACCTTTGATTCCAAGATTGAGTACGTTAAAGGCAGATTAATGGATTGGGTCCTTAGATATATATGCAAAGGGTGCAAAATGGACTGCACGATAAGGTCAGGAAGCGAGTAAAGAATGTAGAGTTGTGCTTTTGTGGCAATATCATCTTCTTGGGCACAAAATAGAAGAAACTTTTTATATTGAACCATAAAAAGGCAATAGGGATTGAGGTTAAAAGAAGTAAAAGAATAGTTCTTGCAAGGTTAGGCCAAGAAGTTTGTATCTTTTGGCTCCAAAGCTTGGCCACAAATGGATTCCATTCCCATGGAAGGGCCAGAGAGAATAGAGTAGCCTGTGATGTTAGCAAACCCTACTGCGAGTGAGCCACTGGCTAAGTCAAGTTCTCCTAGGCGGCCTAGGAAAACCATGGAGATCATGGAGCGAGAACAGAGTGCAAGACCAGTTAATATCATTGGAAGTGATATTTTGCCTATATATTCTTCTTGCCTCTTTGATTACAAGCGAGAGATGAGTCTTCTTATGTTGATTTTGGCTGTGTTTTTGAGGTGTAGGGTCCTTCGGGTTCAAAGCAGTTATTAATGTGTCAGATTCTTGTCCTTTGGTTGATGTGTCTAAATTGCATTTGCAAGAATGAGAAGGTGAAAATAACTGGCACATAGTTCCGGAGTTAATTTTAAGAGGGAGATTTTAAGTTGTTGGGGATTTGGGAGTTTTTTTTCATAATAAGTCAGTTTTAAATTTTTTTTCTTATAATATAGTAATTTTAAATTTATTTTCCATAATAAATTACTTTATGTCAAATAAGAGTCATTTCATTTTAATAGATTTACATATCAACTTTAATTTGTTTTTGCTAAAAAATTACATTCTCGTCCTAAATTACTCTCTTTTTATTGTTTTCTCTCTGTATCAACATGTAGCTTATGCTTTTGTGCCTTCAATAGCTATTGTAAGAACGATCCTCTTCCTACAAGCTGTATTTTTTCTTGAAAAGCAGAGTCTCTCTCTCTCTCTCTCACAGTTTCCATCTCTCTTTAGTTTTTGACAATCTATAACTTGTTTTTTTTTATCATTCTTTGGTTTAAATTCAAGTCTAGAGAACTATAAATTAGGAAAACAGTTCCTGGTTTTTTGTTAAAGGATTGGACGAAATTCAGTTAGGACAAAAGCTTCTGGATAGCTTCTAATCGAAGCTTCATCCTGTTCACCCCCGAGGCGAGTGAAGGCTCAAAAGGCCTTACCCAGTGAGCAACATCACCAGTAGTAGACATTGCTGCATATCAAACCCAACATTGGACACTGGACCATTGCTACTGCTGTAAGGAATTATCCCATCTCTTGCTGGCCTGACACCAATGTGAACAAGAGGCCTCCCATGTCCATCAATATAGGTGCCACCACCTTGTACAGGGGGTGGGCCTGAAGCATCAAGACTTGCACAGCCACCAACATATCGGTTTGGAGCACGTGCTCTGGTCTTAGCATTCAGGACATCAACGCCCAATTTGTCCATTTCTCTTGCCATCCCTATGAGATTCTGTTCCATTGCTCGCATTTGTTCCACCTTCTCTATATTTAAGCCTTTTTCATACTCGAATGTAGCTCTTAACCTCTTGAGTTCATGCCTCGAATTTCTCAAGCTCGGCAAGCAAATCTGGTACTCTTTACATCGGTGTGGATTTTCTACAGCTCCTGTGACGCCTATTGGATTTGTGTAGCAAGCTCTTATCTTTCTTTGACCAAGTTCTGTGCCTCCACATGTGCCTGTTTGAGGTCCTTTTTCACGTTCTCACCAGCCCTAATGTCTTTTTCCATTTTTGCAATTTTATCTAGCAAAACCCTGATTTGGATATCACTTTCTGTCTGGATGCTTCTAATATGTGCCTTGAACCTTTGTGCTTCTTGCTGAGCAGCAACAAAGGGTTGATGGCTCAATCTCATTGAATAGGAACTCATACTGCTAGTGCATTTGAATGAGGGTTCAAAGATAGGTATAATCTAGATGAGCATCCAGTGAAAGACTACAAGAAATTTAGGTCTACTATAGACACTATTGTTTAGTTGAGAAGTTGTTTCCTTTCACGACATTAGCAACAGGTGGGATAATAAAGTGTCAAGGGGTCAGACTAGGTGTCTGGGAAAGAGTGTTGGTATTATGGTTGTAGGATTATTAGTTTGAAAAAAAAAATTGATTACTCTTTATCTCACTGTACTTTTACTTATTCTGGCATTTGTTTTACACTTCATCCTGCAAGGATATTTAGAATTCCATTCTGGTCTGTCCTAAAATGCATGCTTTGTTTTCCTTTATATCCATTATTGAGAAGTGAGTTTCTAACACAACTGCTCATTAAAAGAATGAGAGGGTAGTTTGGGAGAAAGTGCAAAATATGAGGTGGTCTTTCCTTTATTATGTTTTCATAAAGCGTGTAAAGTCAAACAGATGCTTTGTGTGATGGAATATTATTAGCTAGTGAAGCATATAATTTGTTTTCCCTGAAATCTCTTTGTCAAAGTCTCATCTTTAACTTTTGATAGCTAGAAAGAAGCAGACAACAAATTTTTATTCCGAGAAGAAATAGTGTTTGTGGTAAGAAATAGTGTTTGCGGTAAATCCACACAATTTTTTATCCAGATGCTTTGTGTGATGGCATTTTCCTCACATGTTTAAGAGAAATGTGACTACAGCAGACTAAGGATCATCATGGATCACCTATAGTGGATGAAATAGCCACTGAATGATAAGATGAAGCTTCTGGAGCATGAAGACTTTGGAAAACCAACATTACTCTGACAATACTTAGCTGGATTCTTAGAAGCCCTTCCTTAATCATTTTTACCGATGCAGCAGTGTACGCATTAAAGATTTCAAATTTTCAGTAACTATTTGTTTGTTCATTCCGATCAAGAGAACTGTATGTCCACACCCTGTTGGTGCTGTTGGTGCTTTTGTGATTAAAATCTGTTGTAAATGTTGGGATCGTGCAGAAATGGTAATCTGAATCTTGTTTAAGCCCTTGGATTCAACTACAGTTTGGTCATGAAATTAATCTCATAACTTGTCCCCTTCAATATAGGTGATTTATGTCAACATAGCAACATTAGGTTTTTGGATGATAACTTGTTTCATAGCAGCTTGCCTTTCATGTTTCCTTGTTAAATTAAATATGCTTTTGTTATTTGGAAGAAACAGTACTGTAGCTCACTTTAGTTTGTTCCTCCATGAAACAAGATAGTGTCTTTTATCCAAGTATTCTATAAATATTAATATTATAATAATTAATTAAAAATATGACATGGATGCTTACATAGTAAAACTATTTATTTTTTATAACTAAGATTTAAAATACCTTATTTAGAGAAAAAAACTCAAGGATTTAGGATTTGAAAGAGAGGAATTAGTGAGGTTTAAATGGAGATGTTGAAGGAGTTTTTAAGTTGTTAGGACATCCATGTTGACAATAGATAGTATAACTTGTATATCTCAGTCAAAATTCACATTTGTAGTCATTATTAGGTTACAATAATGACAATTAAATTCCTTGAAATTCTCCAATATTGACTCACAAATTAATAAAATTAATTGTACCAAAATTACTGGGGTATTTACCTTCTTGTTCTTACCAAAATTTTGTTATGGTTGCATGCGGAAATTTTTGTGTTTAAATGCAATTGCGAAAACCAAATGTTAACTAAAACTACAATTGAAATTACTTATTTGTCATGCTTCTTCAACCACCTATATCAAGTTATCAACCTAAATCATGACCTCGATGCTTAATTGTGTGATTACACACTAAGGTTGATTTTTTTATAGAAGAACAGAGGTATATGTATCTTTTTAATATCAAGTTATCAGCTTCAAAGCTCTCAAAGTTCGAGTCGGTACGAGTATCAAGGTTTGAGATGCTCATGTTTCAAGGAATCCAAGGTTTGAGTCTAGATAGAGTATGAGCGCTTAGATGACTGTCAGGGATAGGGTTTCGAGCATCAAGGAGACTATCGGGGTCTTGGTCTGAGAGTCTAGGAGACAATCCAGTTTGGGTTATAGGCTCCCTAGGTTCGGGCCTGGACGGGGTTTGAAGTGCCATTAGGTTAGGTCAAGATCGAGTCCCGAGAGCCAAAGGTCGGGCTAGGACCAGATTCGAGACGTTATAGGCGCAGTCTGAGACCGATGTTTGGGACTCCAAGTGTGTGCTGAGACCAATATTATAGTGCTCATTTTTGGATGAGACAAGATCTAAGGCACCTCATTGTCAAGACGGGCCAGGTTTGGGTCGTTTAATGTTAAGGTTAAGATTGGATAAGAAGAGTTTGGGAATCAAGTCCGGATCACCTGAGATTAAGTTACAATAACTTGATTATGTAATTTAAACTAAGTTTATTTTTTTAAAAAATAAAAACTAAAAAACTAGCCAACCAAAAAGTTTTCAATTTTTGAATCAAATAAAAAAAAAACTTCAAAATAAAAACAAAAATAATACCAAATGTTCCCAAACTAATCTTTTATTTTCTTAAAACTTGATATTTATATTGCCAATTTTGGAATTCAATCATGTCACACGTTTTATTAGTGTAATAAATTTAGGTTGCAAAATATTCGATCAGTAATAATAATAATAAAATTGTAATTACATATTTACTATGTTCACATAAATAATATATTTTACATTAATGTTCAGTAATTACTATAGTGCCTATACATGTTATTTGTTACCATCATTGTTTGTAGGTAGTACAGATGCTTCCTTACCGACCAGGTAACGCATCTCCAAAATTGATCCCCTAGTAGGAATGGCAATTGGGTTGGGCGAGGATGGCCCTGAAAAGCTCCATCACATATCTTGCGTAGGGCAATATTTTTCCTATCATCCCCATCCTTAATGGGGACAAGGATCCCTCAAGACACCAATGCTCTACTTAATTTTTTGCATTTGTCCCACTCCATTCTATCTCATATTATCTTGTATCAAATTTTAAACTATAGAAAAAAGATAATAGTCGATATAAAAAATACAATTAAAAAAGACAATCATTTAACATCATATATAGCTATAAGTTTACAACATAACTCATATTATATTAATTGTTTTTCAATCGAATAAATAACATACTTAATTAAGTTGATGAAATATCATAAATACAATTAAAAAAAAAATCCTTGCATATCTTTACTTGTTTAGAGATCATCAAATATCACTCATTATATTGGAAACTAGTTTATAGCTTCAGAATTTATATAGATGTTGGGTATAATTATAATTTCCAAAGAGAAGGGCAAGACGGGGTGGACAAATACCATCTTCGATCCATCTCCGTTCAAAGTTAATGTGAAATGGGGTGCCTCGTCCTGTTCCCCAATCAACTTGGGGAACCTCATGTTGATCGAATCGAGGCTGAGCGGGGCAAATTGCCATCCCTATCCCCCGGTGAAACGCTCAACGGAGAAAATATGGAAGTATGTGATAATAGAGGTCTAAACCATTTAACCCTATAGGCACCATGGAGGAAAGTAAGCAGGGTTTGCTAATAAAAATTTATAACACAATCATAAATTAAATATATTTCTAAATTACTTATATTTAAAATACACTTAAACTTAAAATTTTAATTGATTAATAAATTTCCTTAAGAACACATATTACTCCTTAAACTAGTGGGGAAAAAAAAGTTAAAAGGACAGAAAAGTATGCTAATAAAAATACTGCCCTAATAAGTATGGGATCACTTAAATAAAATTTTAAAGTGGATTAAAATGTGTTTTTAAGGTGTTTGGATGACGCTTCCTCAAAACTTTTTGTTTTCCTCCCTTTATATTCATGAACCGAACTTTAAAAACAAGGAACTACATGGAATATTTTACATGGACTATTTCGTACAAATCTTAAACTTTAACATTGATTATGATATGGTAACCAGCATTGATTTGAGAATGTGTTGATAATTTACCCAAAAAATTGGTAGAAGAACAAATATATGATGAATTTAGTACTATTCTTTAAAATTCTATACTAAACACCAAATCTATAAGTATCACAACAACTAAAATTTATAAAGGAAAGATTGACACGTATAAAAACCCAAAAAGAATTTTAAAGTAGGCTTTGTTTTTCTGATACTAGTATCTTATTGTGCATTTGGAGAAAGTTTTACCATTTAAAAAAGAATAATGTCAAATATTAAAAAAAAAAAAAAAACCATAAAACACACATAAGTAATTGAATTCTTCTTGAATTATTTAATTATTTTTTCCCCTATTTAAAATGTTGCAATATGTTGAGTTTTTAGAAATAGAACTAGTGGATCGATTATTCATGAAGTGTTGTGCTTTATTAAAATATATAGATTTAATTCAATTCACTACATATTAACCCTACTTGTAATTAAAAAAAAAAAAAAAAGCAATAAAACCAAACGCACTAAATAGTGTATTAAATAAAATTTATAAAGAAAAAATATATATAAAAAAAAAGAGACATAAAGAGAGTGCACATAAGTAGAGAAATACACGCACATATATAAGTATATGTGTATATCTACATGCATAGAGCTGTTTTTCTAGTTTTTTATTAACTACTTTCCAAATAGATAATTATCTTTCTTATAAAAGTTTGTGTTTAATAATAATACTTGTGTAATTATTTAATTTTACTAATTTATTATTAATTTTGATATTATCAACTCAAAAAGATAAATACTTAAAGTTTATTTTCCCATCAAGAAGGGAAAAACTTTTTCCCTCAAAGAATGTACGAGAGCACTCCCAACTAGGGATGGCAATGGGGCAGGGAGGGAGGGATACCCATCCCCGTCCCCACCTTGCCCTAAAAAATTTTGCCCATCCCCATCCCGTGCCTCGTTCGGGGCAAAAATTTGACTACCATCCTTGCTCGAAATGAGACAGGCGGGATGGGGCCTTGTCAAATTGCCATTTTTAAAGGCAAAATGGCAAGGCGAGGATAGACATCCCCTTCCTCGCCCCGTCCCAAAAAAATTTACCTCATCCTTGCCCCGTGCACCGTTCGAGGTGAAATTTTGACTATCATCCCCACCTCAAACAAGGCGAGGCAAATTGCCATCCCTACTCCCCACCTTTAGAAAACTAGGGGTAACTCTATGCCTCTTGACTAGACGATCACTTGCCTCACCAAGAGCTAGCCAACCCCAAGCCTCTAACAGGATCAACTTCTAAAGTAGGGATAGTAGGGGAATGAGAGCATGGGATGACTTAGCATCAACATTCTCCACTCAAGGCTCGAGAAGCTCTATCGAAACTAGCCAAGATCACTTTCTTCTTCAAGTAATATGCCAATTTTCAAGCAAAGGAAAAAAAAAAAAAAAAAAAGAAGCATTAGCAATAGAGGTCAAGAAAGACTCATGCAACTTTCAAAACTTTAAATTCCAACTATTTATCCAACAAGCTACGAATCAATGATAGCCCCTTCCGGCCAACAAATTGACCTAATAATTTTTTCTTTTACTCTTTACCAAATCTCAAAAAGCATTCTCAACATCTTTTTGGAAGAGAAAACTATCGAAGCTATACGAGGCAACCTCTATGTAGGGGTACACCTATAGATTCCTCAACCTCTACCTTTGGGAGTCTCCCCTTATACTTGACAATGAACTATTCCTTTCTTCAATTACCAAGTAGCTCAAGCCCCTTTACAAACACCTTTTTCAAAGAACTAGGCTATTTGGTCAAAAAAATATGCATCCAAGCCCTCCTTCCCTCCTCACAAACTATATTAGCTAGGTAATGAGAAAACCTAAAAAGCCTAAGGGTTGGGATAGTACCAAGTTACCTATAGAAGTTCTCAAAAGTAGTAAGGATGGTACACCCATTCTAGTGTATCTAGCACACATTAAAAAAAAAATATTAAAAAACATATGCCATAAAACCTAACAGAGAAAAGTATACACATATTCCAACATACACGTGGAGACAATTATACCCAAGTTCCCAAGTCGGCCATCTCAAATGGTAACTCGCTTATCTTATGATTCTAATGAGTAAAAATAGAAAGGAAATTCTTTCCCAATAAATGACTAAAGATGGTGAGCATTTCACGAAACGCATTACTAAGTCCTCTAACACTAAGTGAAGACACAAACTCTAACTCACCTCAAAGAGGAAACGATTCACCCATGCATACTAAAGTCTACACCGCCTCTCAAACCCCCACTAGGCATACTTCCACATGAACTCCTTACTCTCTTCAACACTCATGGTTATGCAAAAAGAGAATAACAAGAGTGAAAAAGCGAGTTACTTGCTCGAGATTTCAATTTGAAGGAAGAATTCTCCATGACATAGCCCTCAAAACAAGTGTGAAATCTCCAATTTGGATTAAAGAAAGCAAAGATGAAGGGAATATTAGGGAAAGACCTTCTAAAGACTTCGAAGGATGTTAAAAAATTGCTAGGAATCTTCAACAAAACTCAAAATCAATAAAAATGAAAGTGAGAAATCCCCAAGCAAAGTATGTATAGGCGGAAGGGCATGTTTCTTCATAATTAAGACATGCGAGACCTAAATTGTGATCCTATGATGACATGGCTTAACCGGATACGATAGGTCGAGTGCATGTATCATCAATGATGACAATCATTACTCTTTTAAAAAATATAAGAGACGTAACTCGCATCTTAGTAGAGGCACCTCACGAGAAAACGCTTGCTCTCTCTTTTTTAAATGCATAAGTTTTGAAGCACCAAGCATTAAAATGCACATCATCGATTAACTCAAATAGAATGAGGCAAATAACAAGAGCTTTGATAATCTCCTTAGACAAGAAGGGCAACCCTTTAAAGATATAGACATTCCTTTAGTCTAAGCCAAGCACGTTTCCAAGACTTAAAAGGATGAAGGCTATTGATGGGTCCAGATGACATGTGTCACTCTTTTATCAAAGGTCAAGGACACATGCCTAGTTAGGCATGCATGCCACACACAGGATCTTCAAAGCAATAATTACCTTGAGGGAAACAATATAACTCTAATCAATACATTGTTTTCCTATCTAATCACCACTCATCATGACAATAGAGGTGTCATCATGGAATGAGTCACATCATATGCATAAATCAT